ATGAACTGTGATAGGCACACAAATTTCAGTGCTCTCTTGGCTTGCACAGCAGTAGGCTTTGCACCCGACTTTCGTCTAATCTGTCAAAAGACATTTTCCAGCACATCTTGTGTCAACCTGCCTGGTAAGAAAAATGTAAACCCCTCGGAAAATAATTCTTTTGAGAGTTTCACAACACTCAATGTGTGCTCATAATAATGCCAGTTTGAAATGGCTTCCATGCTTTCCCAAACTGAACAGTTTCAGTCACATGAATGAATTTCAATAAAATATTAAATTTCTCATCTTGATTTTTGATAGTGATGCCTTTTGCCTTTTTTTGGATGCCTTGCAGTCATAATTGTAAACCATTCTGCTACAAGTCTCAGCCACCATGCAGAAGTTAATGCTTCTTTTGCAACTTGGTGTAAAATAACTGCTTTTTTTGTAAAATAACTGCTTTTTCAAGAGCAGCAGCTGTTTTTACAGAAAACAATTGCACAGCAGATGCCACATTCATCGAGGAAAATTGTGTGTTGGGAAGAGATGAATGTCAAGTGATGTAGAGATCTCAGGGCAGCATCTGATTCTATCTCACTTGACCAGAGTCGTTTCACATACACTGAAGATACTATCCTCGATGGCAAGGCATGCTGCTGGCGAAATTCCTCTGGTAATATTATAATACTTGAAAGAAATGCATTTCTCATGTTTTTAATGAGATGTGGTACATCTGCAATACTGTGAATGAAAACATCAGGTCCTCCAAAACATACATGAATGTCCTCTGAAAACATGTTGCCTTTGTCATGTATGTTCCTATCTCTTCTCTAGAATACAGACTACTATCCAATACAGAGACATCAATGAAGACCACATTGCTCTGTTATTGCTTCCCATATCTGAAACAGAGGCTCTTACAGTTAAACCTATTTCTGTAGCTGCTGCTACTACAGTTCTATGAATTAGATCTTTCATGTCAGAACCTGATGTTGAAGGCCCTGTTAATTCATTGGCAACAATCTGTTTCCATGATGATGTTTTAAGGCCTCTAAGCATTACAATAGTGTAATGCTTAGCGACTGCAGGTTTTCCTAACGTAACATTTCCAATGAATGACTTAGACGATGTATCAAAATCTTGATATGTGACTATCTCCATTTCGTCAACTCAACTAAAAGGCAGCAGTTCCTATCAAGAGCATTCAATGAATGAACTTTCGTCTTGAGAAAAAAAAAAAAAAAAAAAAAAAAAAAAAATTTTCTAAAGTGCCAAAATTTATTTTTATATACCTAATCCTCCTGTTTAAGGTACTGTATGATGGTGCTGGATATCCAGTACTTCTGAGGTAATTATATCCATGTTTGCCCAAAGCAAATCACATTTTCAGTCCTTGTATAATGGACTTTTCTGACCAGTTCCTTTTTGACTGCACAGCAAGGACTCCTACTTGTTCATCAGACAAAAATGATGTCAATTTTGCATCTTTTTCTTGAAGCTGTTGCTCAAGGAATTCTATTTTTTTTAACAACTCTTCATTTGAAGCAGAAGCAGGTAGAGTTTCCTAAATTCAAAAAGAAATAGTAAACATGTTATGCTGTGATTATTTTTTTAAACAATGGTTGGATGAATTAATATATTTGTAATAACAATGATTTTTTCAACAACTTTTTTTTGGAGAAAATATTAAATAATTTACCACTTCGGTATTTGGCTTAGGACATCTTACTTCTCTTATCCTCTTGTCAGTTACAGATGGTGGTGGATTTGGAATGCTAAAGAGTGTTGGTACTGCAGTTTTTCTTAGTTTTTTCCTATCTTTGCATAGTGACTCAAATTGAGATTCCTCAAAATGATCCTGTAAATACATAAAGTAATAAAAAAAAGTATACAAAATAAATAAAAGTACAAAAAACAAACCACACAGTAAGGTTGTGCCAAAGGCAGCAAGCATGAACTGTAAGTAAGTATAGGCAATAAATAAATATGCAGGTAATTAAATTAGGCCCAGTATTATAAAAAACTGAAACAATAAACAAACCATGTCTAACATATCAGCAGCAGCATCTTGTAAGCTTGGGCAGAATTTAATTATCCAATATTTATTTTTTGCCTATAATTTAAAGTGTTCTTTAGAACATTATCCAAAAATTAAATTAAGCAGTCTTCTGCTATAACATTAAAAACAACTAAAAACAACTAAAATAAAACTTTATATTTCTTGCTATAGTGCTCTTACAATAGATAAGAAAATATGAGTTCACTTCACCCAACTTTTAAGATACTAGGCCGATAAATACATTTATAATTAGAGCAGACTATGATTCTTGTTATAATTGTAGTAATGTTTATTGCTCTAATTGAAATATTTAATATTTTTAATTTTTAATTCTCTATCATCAATCATTCAAAACATAGCCCTAATTTCGGAGCACAGTGCCAACATGCATTTTAAAAAGCATCAAGGCCAGCCAGTTTAAACGACAATTTTTTAAATTACACACAGACATATCCAATTAAAGTTATTAAAAACTCTAGAACGTAGTTCAGTAGCTTTCTGAATTTGTAGGCAATTTCTTATTTAGAGATGACAACACAAAATAACGCTTCAGAAAATTATTTATCATGTATAAAAATCTGTTTTGTAACACAGATCAGTAATAACTGTTTATCAATGTCATGAGGATTTAATTTGACGAGATCACATTCTTTAGAAGTATCAAATTCATGAAAGGATTTGGCTTGGCCTTTGAAATTCATCATTACAGGCAGATTTATTTGATTTGATTGTTATGCATGCATTAAACACTACACATGCATTATTAAAAACACTACAATTATTTTTGAAAAATACACATGCGGAGTTTCACAAAGTTTTCTGTGCTTGCTTATTCTGAATGTTCTGCATCTTGCATTTTTATTTCTAAATCTTTACTCCATTGCCAAATTATATAATACTGTGATTATAAATATATGGTACTTGCACAATCCTTGTAATTATTGAAATCAAATTATATATATTTTGTCTCACACTATTCAATTTGTTCTATTGACTTCAGATGTCAATGTCAAAATTCTCGAAGTTATTTTAACCAAGAAACGGTGCATAAACAACTCATCTAACTTTTCAACAATAGTGATTATAAAATAAGGAAAAAATTATATATCATTCCAACGATATTGCAACTATAGTATAATGTTACATATATCTTTAGCAAATATTCAGATTTTAACTTGCATTTCCAAATTATTATTTATTTTTTAATAAATTTCAATATGCTAATGATTTTCATGTTACATTAGTATAAATTCCACAATCAGCACAGGAAAACAAAATCTGCGCCTTAAATTAGAAGAGAAATTTCTTTTCCACATTCAAAACATCCACATTGGCGATGTTTGGCGACGGGTACATTAACCCTAGACTAATTTAATTATAGCTATTATCACAGAAATTAGCAGATACTTAGGTTATTGTACACAAGAATTTCACTTTACTTGCACATTATAAACATCAGAGAAGATATAAACTCTAAATGAAGGCGTAAATAACATTATACTTACTAAGCAAAGTTGAGCGCCTGGACCAGGTTTCCAATTGTCTCTTCGGCAATTATTTACCCATATTTTTCTTCATTTTTAGGAAATTTTACCAATATATGACCTTTCCGTGAATGATTTGAACAATTAATAGCTGCACATCCGCCCATTTTACACAAAAAAGCACAAAAAAATTGTTGCACCGTAACTACACAGCCGCCATTAAAACTCCCATTTGGGATCCCGAATGCATGATGATTCAGCCTGGTATATAGGAGCCTTAGTGTTGGCAATGTAGAGGTGAGATAGACTGGTTGCTATGCAATAAACGTCACTTCCGCATGGAATTTCCACTTCACTTTCCGCCGACGGAATTACATAGTTGTGTTCTTTCCCGTTTTAAATTACCCATACTTCTGTCACGGTATGCCAGAATGTTAAAGGAATCGAAGCTAACTAAGGATTTAATATGAAAAGAGCCTTTAATTGCAGATATTTACAAAATTTAGAAGCAGTACATTTGCAAAAACGATAGAGCTTATTTTCAAAACACAAAACTTTTTGGTGGTCGTGTGCTTAATGCATGATATAATTAAAGAAAATAAGAGTAGACAATCTCCTATAACAAAAGAATATATTAAGTACTAAATTACAATTTAAATTACATTGCAGAGATCAACGCAGAGCTCGGAACACAGTTATGCTACCGTCGCGTACAATTGTTTTGCGAGAAGTCTGAGTGAGTAATGACGTCGCTTTGCTGCTCCGATTAAGAACTGGATTTTACACGTGGCGCCATCTCATGAATAGAAGTTGAAGTATCTGTCGGAACGCCACATCTTCTTAAACAGAGCTGGTATTACTCAAACAGACAGCTTTTAAGGTGAAGGAGGGAGTGTGACCAGTTGCCACATGAGCAGCAAGGACATCTGATTGATTGACACGTATCCAGAGCAAAATGAAAATCAAGTATTCATGGACACACAATGAATTGAAAAAGATAGCAAGTACTAAGTGTACGAATGAGTTCATTCTAAATATGATGAAGTTCGTAATGTATAGGCCAGGAGAGAAAAGCAGGATAGTCCTAATTTCATCAAAGTTTGGAGTGACATGATAAGGTCACACACCTAAATGGAGGCCCGAGGAGATAATACATCTTGATTTTACATTTGTATACAGTCATAGTATAAACATGCGTATAAAGTGTTGCTCAATAAGTATAAGATATTTTCAGAATCATACAGTAATAAAATTCTAATACAAATACATAAGCGAAACGACAATTACCTCTTTAGAAAACAAAAAATAAAGAAAAGAAACCTTAAATGTGATTATTTCCCTCTCTCAAAAGAAACCTTAAATTTCATTACTGGTTCATGACGTCATCATGCGCGAAAGCTACCATTTTCAACTGATTGACACACTATTTGTAGTCCATGAATGTAGTTAAGAAATGAAATGAAGATGCGTGAGTTCTGACGTCACAGCTTTTATACAAGTCGTGGTTTCTCTTAATACTCTTAGTGCTACAGGAGTGTAATATATTGTTTGTTTATAATTGCTGTGATCGTCGCAAATTGCTTTTTAACTACTCATTGTAGTGTAATATGATTAATGAATCCAATGAAAATGGAAAAGGTCTAGAACAGCAGGTAATTACTAAAATATATTTGAAACAATTACTATGAATAACGTGACACTTTTGTCATGTGTAAGTTGTTGCATTTGTAAAAGATTATTTTAGCACGCACTGTGTCAATATATTTCTCAAAATCATTCGTAGATTTATTATGAATAACCAATAAAAACAACACTAATTGTAACGCCAGCAGTCAAAATATCTTTTAGTCTGGTATCTGTTAAGTAGTGAAAGCGCTATTCCATGCAGAAATTGAAGAATACATTTATTTTATGGATCCTGTGTTGATATAACTATTTTGAATATCTGAAATGGAACGCTTCGATTTTATCAGGCGAGATGCTAATGTTTCTGGTGCGAGGAACATGCCGTTCGCATGTTGGTAAATTTTTAAAAACTGAATGAAGTTTCTAATGGTAGATATCTGCAGATTTGAAATAACATAGTCTTGATTTCGAAAAGTTTTCTGGGAAAAAAGCTGGATGTAATTTGTAGTATCTGGTTGTTAATACAGATTGTCAGTCATTCGAACATTATTCCATGCCTGCGATTCTCTGCATTCTATTTGATCTTCATTTCTAAGAACCCACGTGTAATAGCTGTAAAATGAACGGAAGTTGTTATGCTGTATATTTTACTGGGCTTTTTTTTCAGTACTGTTTCCTGATTGTAATAACATAAAATGAAATTTTGTATGTGATTACAATGTTGTTTGGTAGTTATTTTCAAATTGATATAAAATAATAAATTATAGCAGTTTGTGTATTTGAGTAAATTGTTAGATGAAATGAGAATGCAGGTTGTGAATTTGGAGGATATTTTTGATCAAATTTGCCATTTTTCAGATAGGTGTAAACACCTTTTTTTTTGCTTGAAATTTCTTTTGGTTTATTCTATACTTATTTTATTTAGTCTACGCTTAATTTTTTAAGTAAATGAGACCCATATTGGGCTATTCTGACAGCATAGGGATTAATAGAACCTTGTTAATGTATTGATGTTCTGAGAGTCGTACACTAAATTTAAACCTTAATATCAGAACAGAATATCTGTTCATTCCAGTGATCTTCCAATAATATTCATATAAAGCATGTACTTTTGAGACTGTAGTGTGTTTATGGAATAGGAGTCTTAAAATTTATTGATCAAAGATCTCTTGAGAACATGTTTTAGAAGAGGAATAGTAGACCCTCACATCATTCATCTGGCTGAAGCAGTCTTGATCACAATTGGATTGGCCAGTTTTATATTAAATACACTTGGAAACAGCATTTGTATTTTTCATGACAATTTAGTAATACAGTCGTGATCCATATGATTTAATGCACTGTGTTTGTAAAGACTCTGAAGGAAAGAAATTAAATTTTATAATTATTAGTTTATTTTGTCAAATATATGCAGTTATTCACAGTTCATTAATAATGATAAACAAATATATATAATTACTTAACAGAGCAGAAAACTTATTAGCAGTGTACCAAAAATTCTTTCCTTATACATTGCTGAATTTGCATTAGTTTGTTTAGTTTCTTTGCAGTATTATATTCGAGACTAAATTTTCAAAAACGTAACAAAACAAAATATTTTATAATTTAGTATATTAATCTAATGTGGTTTCATACAGCATGGACTGATAAACATTATGAGTAAATATTTTCGGAACTACTCTGATATGCGCCCTCGAGTCGCCAAATATTTTTGGCGAGAAACTTTACGTTGCCATATTACTATCTAAATTTTTTTGTCTACATTTCGAACTTTAAGCCTAAAGTGTTTCCAAAAACACGGTTTTCGCACATGCAAAAACTACGTTTTGAACACACGATTTAAGCTAAAAATCCGAAACAAAAACAAGAAATTTAGATAGCAAAAACGTAAAGTTTCTAACCAAAAATATTTGACAAGAATCCATGTACACAGTGACATGTTTTAACTTAAAAAAAACATCTACGAATGGCACACTGTAGGCAACGAACGAATCTACGAACTATGCACAACCTCGCTTTAATAAATTAACATAACAACAATAAATTTCAAAGAATACCATGTAAACAGCGTTCTGTTTCAACTTAAAAAAACATCTACGAATTGCACAATCTACACTAAAAACAAATCAAGAAAAAATAAACTAAAATAAATTTCAGACAATTCAAAAAACAACAATAAAAACCGAAATTCATACAAAAAACAATGAATATAACATTCTACAAAATAAAAACAATAAAATAAAATGCACTTACCATAATGAAAGCTGCTTTTAAAAGCAGAAATATCTTTCCTCCCTATCTTCTCAGATACAGAGCATACAAAGTCCAAAATACATTCGTTAATAAAATTTTGCCAGTCACACAACCTCTGTGAAGAAAACTTCCACGATTTTGCTATATCACACATGCCTTCCTACAATTCAAAATTTCGAAAGTAACAATAAAAACTTCCTCCAACGTTAACTTGCTACACGAAAACCAAGATCCAAACCTTAAACTCCGCTGACACCCACATACTTTATTAGCAACAATTTTACTGCAACCCACACAAGTCTATCAGAAACACCATTTTTCATCCGAGTTCTCATATCAGCTCCGCATTTCGGACACGTCAAACTCCGTTTTAAAAGTCCCGACTCCCACAGAAATTATAAAAATACACTACGATCCCCATAAATACAATCGTGCCAAAAACCAGCGCCAAAAATAATATCGCCACATTTGATGAAATGAGGGTGTTTATCAGAGTTGTACCATATTTTCTTCATTAAAGTTTTCCATTAAAGCATTAATATTATTAATTTACAAGTAATTTTTTGAATAACTTAAGAATTATTGATAATTATCTATGTACGTTCTAAAAAGAAATATAAAACAAGTCTTTTTTTTTTTAATTGGCATAAATTTGCATAAAAGAAGGGAAAAATTTTAGTAAAAAATTGTATACCTCAATTTCTCTTAAGCTCTAAGTTACTTTCATTATTTTGTTTAGTTTCTGTTGCTTATATGCTATAGATTTAATTCATTAGTATTCTCAAAAGATGGATCTGTATGTAATGATGTCATTCTTTAGTTCAGAATGATGCAGAGTAGTCAAATTAAGGAATATTTTATTTAGGGTACTAAATTGGGGAAAGTGCAGAATCGCCCACTGCTTGGCACGTTTTTTAAGAATTGCACATACTCAGTATCCATGTACACGTCGACCTATTTTCACTTTAAAAAAATCCCAGAATTGCAGAAAAATGGCATTGCGCTCTTCCTTGACTTTATCCAAATACATTGACCTATTTTCACTTAAAAGTCAGAAAATTGACAAATCCTTTCTTCGTACTCTCCTGCATTCTTTTAGACTTAGTACCCCCTCTTTCATACCCTAATTCACATTGTTATTTTCATTTTATAAAAAAATTAGTCAAACAAAGAAAAGAAAGAAATTCCAGTAAGTCTTCAAATTACTCTAGATTGCAAAAAGTGGGTACAGGGTTCGAATCTGCATTTTTTAGCCCTAAAATGTTGAAAAAGTAGAGTATTGGTTAAAGTTTGATGTTTTTTGTAAAATTATCGAAGTTTGTGAAATTAAAATTAATTGGTGTTTGTCAGAAAAGTTGTTTTGTTTGATTGTCAGTACTTTTTGGAATCATTGAAACACTGCTATATATGGTGCATAATGTTTATTACAGTTATTGTTTGACTACTGCAGAATTTGCATCTTTTACTTTTGTTTGTTGAATTTTTGTTGCTAATTTGATTTCTGGGATCCGTTCTTATTTTGCTTGAGGCTAAATTCAGTAAGAAGATGGTTGGCCAACAAAATCAGTATATGAAGGTTACGAATTTTAGAATATTCTTCTCATTTTCAGCAATCCTAGTGCAACACTTCTTTGAAAGTCTTACAGGAAAATTTTGGAATCTGCAGCAGTCTTCTTTCTATATATATGATTTAGCTACACCAATAAAATCTGTAAAAGTAGGCTGCCACCATTTCTTACTTTTTACTTGCACTCTATATACATCGCAGTAAAATTTTCCAGAAGGTCCGTCATCATATGTTTGTTGCAATTTTTGATGATTTATGGTTGCTTAACAGATATAGATTTGTTTTCTTTTCTTGAGTACCTCTTAGTTACTGAAGGCAGATAAATTGTGTCAAAGTTAATTGTCATAGCTATGACTGAATTTTTTTTCCCCATCAAATTACTGCGATGCTGTGCTCTTTATCAAATGCAGTGTCATATGCTCCACATTCTTTTTTCTATTTTGTGTACAGGTATAATGGAACAGTTTCTGAATCTGTACTAAGAATTGCTCCAGCTGCATTCAGCTTATCCAATTTCAACAACATTTCAGAAACATAAAAAAGTAGTTGTAATATATGTAATGATTTGAAGAAACTTTCACCACACTTAAGAGCTCTTTTACAACATCTCTATCCAGTCCAAGGTCAGCCAATATCTTTGAGGATATTTATGAATATATAGCAAAATGACATAAGTAGTCTTCATAGGAAAACAAACAACAGACTTTGTACCTGAAATGAATGGGTATTCCACTGAAAAACATTTCGTTTGAATGTCTAAAATAATGTATGTATGTCATTTGTTCATCTGTAAAAAAGAATTATTAAAAAAGGCCTAATACAGCATGAAACTGGATTTAAAGTTTTGGAACTACTCTGATATGCACCCTCAAGTCGCCAAATTTATCGCCAAAAACTTCACGCTGCCATATTACTATCTAAATTTTTTGTCTACATTTTGAACTTTTAGCCTAAAATGTCTCCAAAAAACGCGGTTTTCGCACATGCAAAAACTACGTTTTGAACACACAATTTAGCTAAAAATCCGAAACAAAAACAAAAAATTTAGATAGCAAAAACGTAAAGTTTCTAACCAAAAATATTTGATAAGAATCCATGTACACAGCGACATGTTTTAACTTGAAAAAACATCTACGAATTGCACAATGTAGGCAACGAACGAATCTACAAACTACGCACACCTCGCTTTAATAAATTAACATAACA